AGGATTTTTCCTCTAGCCTCTGCGTCCAGACCGGCTCTGGAGCCCACCCAGCCTCCTCTACAATGGGTACCGGGGTCCTTTCCCGGGGGTAAAGCCGGCCGGGGCGTGATGCTGACCACTTACCCCCATCTAGTGCCGAGGTCAAGGAAGAGAGGATCTATACCTCCTCTCACCCCAAACGCCTACATGGCGTGTAGTGGGACAAACTTTACTTTTTAGAATGTATTTTAAGTTGGTGATCCAGCGAAAGATGATTTTTCTTATGTCGTGCATAAATATGTCTAGACACAATTAAAATGTGAGACATTCTTACCCTGATTATATTTTGACTGTCTCTGATTTAGAGAAAGTGGGCAAAACTGATATTTTTCTTTTGTTTTTTATTTTTTGCAGTTCTCAGAATGGACGGATCATGACAGAGGTATCACCGACATAAGTGAGTACAATGCATTTATCTTCTTTGTTTCGCAACGTAAATGTAAAGAAATTAGTTAGTCTCAGCTCTGCATTTAAGCCTTGGCCTACATAGACCTTGTTACTTTATCAACTCTGCTACTGCTTCAGAATTATTGCAGCAATTGTTTTTTTTTATTATGTTGTTGGGTGTGAAACTTGGTCTTTCGCATGAAGCGATGAACATAGTTTACAGTTTTGTGGTGGTTTTCTGGGATATTTTATCCCGTCGTCCTTTTACTGTTTACCTATGTTTCGGAGGGATATAACGCTTCCTTCTTCGTGGCTGAAGCTAGGAGGTTTATGATTTGGGTGGTTCATACATGTTTAAGAGGAGAATGAAGCCGGGGTTTTTGAGGAAGGGTGTTTGAAAACAAAATGCTCGATGTCCTAAGGAAAATAAGGGTGGGGGAAATTACATTTTGAAGATTTTCATAATTTGTACTCTTTGCTATATGTTATTAGGGTAATCAGATACAGGGGAATGAATTGGGCGTGTCATGTAGCACGCATGGGAAAGATGTGAAACGCTTATATAAATTTAGTCGGAAAATCAGGAGGGAAGATACCACTTTGAAAAACCTAGACACGGATGGGAAGAGACTGTAGTCATCTGTAGTTTGTTACAGATGGTAGTTTCTGTGGGAACTGTCTGTACTTTTTCTAGCTAATTGAGTGTTATTCATCAATTTTGTGAGAAACGTATAGCCCATGATTCATAATTTAGAAGAGAAAGTTTACATCGAATTAGAAAATAATTGAATCATTAAAATTCTCAGCAAGATTACAGAGCGCATAAGCCTAGGACTGTGTGAAATGAATTCTGTTTTACGTGACTCTGGCTTCAAACTGCGTGCTGGCAGTTTGTAACGAACTGAATTAATTTGTTGTTCAGCTGTTTCTTAGTCCGCTAGAATATTCCGTAACGTCTGTTACATCATTCTTACTACCACAGTATAGACCATTAAATTATTTAAGAAGAATGTGTTGTTTTAATGAGAATATCAAACTTTGCAACAAGTTCTTCCTTGCTTACAAGATTCTGCTTAGTGTGTCTGGATATTCTCTCTTTTCTTTCCCTTCGTGTCTGAATAACAAGCGCCCTTTTCCTCATAATTATCTTCCACTCTGGCTCCAAACCGCCCTGCAAATTTACCTCAGCGCTGCCTCATCTTGGAAGAAACCACATTCAACTTCTCTTGCCGTTATGGCGTTTCGTGTGTAGACGTAAATCGTCAAGGTGTGGAAAAGCAAAGACTGACATCAGTCTGTCTTCACATTTCAACACAACGCCATGCCCCTCCATTGCTTTCGGCTCTAATTTATTCGCATGTCCTCGAGGCTTGTCTGTATCCTCTATACCCACAGGTAGGTAAATTAATTGAAAAATTCATGTAACGAGAGATCGCGTAAATCAGAGCGCTTTTCTTCCGTAGACTCAACATCAAAAATTAAGGTTCCGTTCCTAAGTGGATAATTTTAGCAATAAATTTGCTAATTCTGGTATTTTTGCATATTTATAGGTAACTGGTTCTTGTATTATTTGACAGCGTTTGTTATCCGTCAGGTCCATGTTAATGTAACTGCGAATGTTGGGTTTGGTATCAATTATGAGTTGAAAATAATGAGAATATATCAGTCCGTAGCCAAAATCGAAGCCAGAACCGTGAAAGAAACTTGCCAGGATTTTCTAAACAATTAACAGCGGGCGTAGAATTTTACAACACACATGAATTTTTTTTAAAACCCACTCAAGCCAATGCCAAACTTTCATTCGGAAAACCGTAAATCAGGTAATATTTTTAATTTTGAGGATGTTTGAATACATTGGTAATATTTAGCCCTTCTTGTCCTTTCGATCGGCGACAAAAGTGACCGCATTACCTTGCGTCAATTTAAAGCGTTTTTAAACAGCTTTCATCGCGTCTCTCGTAAGCGATTACAACACACTGATGGCTCAGGTTGGGTGGTAATTTGTCTCATAAATAAGGAACATGAAGAATCAGCATCTTCCGCCTGACAGCAAGAAGACTGGTCCGTGTAGACATGGTGTGTCCTGATACATGACGGCGCGGAAGTTTGAAAGGGACCATCAATCACGTGACGGCCCTAATTAAAGTGTCTTCAGGTCTGTTGCATAATTGTTTCTGTGGCGTAGAGCAAAAGCCAGTGCCCTCGATTTTTGTGCACCTGATATGAAAGTTGACATCAGTAGCTTATGCCATTATCAGGACATTCATTACCTTCTTCCTGCTGTTCCACTTAATTTTTATGGTATTTCGTTCACTTGTATCCTGTATCGAGAACCACGTCATGCAAATGTATAGTGGAATGTATTCTCTACTGCAGCACTGTATGGAGATGAGTGGTCAGCTTCGCTCTCCGTCCGCCTTGCCCCTAGACAGAGAGTCCTCCGTAATATTTTATAGGAAGTTGGTGGGCCCCAAATCCTGATTGGATGCTGTGATGCAATGAAAAATCTGTTACTGTGATGAGAATTGAAAGAATTTATTGCCCGTAATCTGTGTGTGTCTTTATAAACCTGTTCCGTGTTTAGTGCAAAGTTAACTTCGTTTCCTGTTTTTCTCCTTCTTGGTTGATGCTGATTTACAGATTTTTTCTCGCTTGTCTTCTGGGAATTTCTGTGGGTGTTCTATTTACCGCCTTCCTTGTAAAGTGATTTAACAAATAGGCCTACACTCAGACCACCTCTAATATAATGGAAAATGTCAGAATAACATCCTCACATAGTAACTGTAAGGCATCATGTATAACAGTGCTGTGTATTTATATAATGGCTACGTTCAGGTATTCAAGAAATTTCCCACATTCTGTGGAATCCACACTTTCATTACCCTTTTCACAAGAGTCCACTATCCGTCCATATCCTGACCCTGATGAATATAATCTACTCCACACCCATTTTAATATTATCCTCACGTCTACGTCTAGGTACATTTAGCAGGGACGTTGAGTGAAACAAAAGAGACGGAAAATGGGGATGAGGAAGAAATAATACTGCTCCCTTTTATTCCTCCCCCCTCCCTTATTCTTTCGTTCGATAGAACTCTGGAAGGCTTCCGTTCCGGTTGATGAACATGAGTTTGCTTCTAACTTCCGGGGAATAAAATATTCGTTTGCTAGAATAAAAGTACGATATGAAAGATAATAGGGGATTGATTTTTCTTTATGTTCGAGGTTTTCAGTTGCTTCTCGTTCAGTAGTTTCGGATTCTGACGCTGCGAGCAATGCATAACGCTCTATCAGTTGCAGAATCGTTACATCTGTTGGAATACGCGATAAAAAAACAGCAAGGTACATAATTAAATACAATGGAACATGAGAAATTGCTGTGTTGTTCTATAGACTCGAACCCTAGATTCTGATATATTAAATCTAGTGGACAGTAAAACTGGATGTGATAAATCTGATTTACCCAGTCAGTCCTTCCTGAAACAGCTTTTGTATTCCTCGCATAAACCTGTTCAACATTCGGGATTTAAACACAGGTTTGTTTCCTGTCTGAAATTAGAACCTTGTAGAATTACGAACTATCAACACCAGTCAGCATTATCAGTTTCCCTATGGGCTTAACACCCCAGTCATATTAAAAGGGAAGTTTAAATTGGCTGTAACGCGTCAAACATAAGCCTGGCTTGCTTTGTAAATTTCGGCTTGAAATCGGTTACCCAGACTGGCATTGTTCTCGTCAGCACGTCCAGGAACACGGTACAGTGAAATAAATCACGATCGCATCACTGTTTCGTTTCTATACCGAGTAGGTTACCGAAACGATAACGTTCTAGACATTTGTGGGATATATCCGCTTTGAATTATGAATCAGGTAGCGCCAGTATTGATTCAGTTTACCGTTTTCCTCAGTCTTTCCAGGCGAATGCAGATACACTGTCGTCAGACAGACAACGAATGCATCTTTCTGTCAGTGTACTTTGATATTTATTTTATTTAGTGTTCTGTCTGACGACAGGTCCATATGAACAAGATCCTTCCATTCTTTTCTCGGACTGGGACCTGTTCATATACGTTCTTGGCAGATGATCCAGAAGTGGTTTGCCATTGCCTTCTTCTGTGTGTGAATGGAGTAATTGTTGGGATGCCACGGAGAAACCGGGGAAGCCCCCGGAGGAAAACTCCGTGTTGCCTAGACCACGGCCTTGCCCAACACTGGTAGAAGTTTACAGACTGAGACCCCAGGATTACAAG